TATAAAAATCAATTAATTTTGTTGAGTTAAAATTAAAATCATTAGAATAATTGAAATTTGTTTTAATATAATTTATATGAAACATTTTTGTATTGTAATCGGACATTACTGACTAAAAAATTGATTTACATATACAAAGATTTTTGATTTAATTATTTATTTAAGATTATTTGAAAACATAGTTTTACAATAAGTTTTAATTCTCAATAGTATTTAACTTAGAAAATCTAAAAATCAAATTCATTTAATATTTATTGTATTTTATAAAATAATATCAAATTTTTGTTGTTGATATTTTATATTTTAATAGAATATAAGTATTTATATAAATATAATTTAAATTATTTATTTACATAATGTAATTTATTATACAAATAGTGATGAATAAATAGAAATTTATTTTTAAAAACTTTAGAAATTTTTCCAACTGACATTTTAGTAGTTTTTAAAAATATTATTTATTTAAAATTTGGTAAAAAAATTGACATTATTTAGGATCAGAGCAATTATGATAGAATTGTAATAATTACAGAGCATTGGTATTAAATATTATAAAACATTTTAATTTTTTAACTTATACTAATTAAAAATATAATGAATATTATTGAATAGTCAATTAAATAAATTTTAAATAATAAAAACTTATGATTACTTTAAATCTTAAATTTAATGAAAACAGGAATAAATGATTTTTAAAAATAAATATTTCTATATTTTATAATTTTAAAGGTAAATTTAACAGTTATAATGTTGAGTATTTTAAATTATATTATGTAAACTAAAAACTATTAATTATTGTATTAATATTTTAATATCATATTATAGACAAATATTAGCATATATTAACGTCAGTTAATAATAATCTAATAATTGTGTTATTTACTATTCAACAAAACTTACATAATATTACTTAGAAAATTTCTAAATATATTTTTAATTTTATAAAAACTTCTTTTTGTTAATACAAAATACAAACAAACTTTTTTAATTCAAAAAACAAATATAATATTACACATTATGTTAAAATAATTGTGTTTTTAATTTATGAGTTTTTTAAAAATTTCATATTTTATTTGTTAATAATATTAAGCAAATACTATATATTTATGAATAATGTATTTTTCAATATTTGTTATTACAATACTATTGTTCGTAAATTATTTTTAGGTTATTTACTAAGCTTGCATTTAAATATTTATATATTTTAGTAAAATATTTTTTAAATCAAATAATTTTAAATATTGTAGAGTTAAAATAATTAATATTAAATGATTATAACTTTTAGCTATTTCTATAAATACTATAGCTTATATAAATTGAAAACAATTGACAGATAAATATAGTGTAAAATAAAATTTAACAAAAATAAAATAAAATAATTAATAATTGAATAAATAAATTGAATATAATCAATTATAAATATGTGATATAATACATAATTAGATATTAGTGGATAATATAATGTATTGATTATTTATTTTATTAATAACATTAAAGTTGAATAAAAACAATTTGTAATCAAAGTGCTGTCTATTTTAGTGACTATTAATAAATTGATAAGAAATTGATTTACTGACTACTGTTTGATTCATAACTGTATATATTGTATGAATCACTGATTAAACTTAATATTTGTATCCAAACAGATTGATAAATGAAATTTTTGGATATCTTTAATAAAGTGTATCTCAACTCAAGCACAACACACACACACACACACACACACACACACTATCTCCTCATTTATTGTTTTGTTTTGTTTGATAAGCATTATATGCAACACTACTATAGTTTTATATATAGATTTGTGGTCATCAAAGCTTATGAGACAATGATTGAGGCATAAAATGAATGGATGGACAGTGAGTCTGATGTTAAGCAAAAACATGATATGATATGATATGATATGATTGTTGCCAAATAAATATAAGAGTTATATTTAAGACCATTGTTTCACTATTTTGACATTACTTTATACAACTATGACCTCATATACTACTAAATATAATTAAATATAATATACAGACTCTACTAAATAACTATTAAGTCATACAAACTTTTATCGGTTTTCCAGAGATGACCGGAAATGGAGAGAAAACTTGCGGGAAATGAGAGCTCAAAGATAAACATTATTTAATAAATTAATAATATTTAAGTCTATAAAAGATTTAATAGAATTATGTGACTATTTATAGACATTTTATTAAATTTATTTTTATATTATCTAACTTAATATTATATATATTTATTTATAATTATATAACATTATAATGAAAATATAAATAATTTTATAAATTAATAAATTCAAAACAATATTTTATAATTAATATTTAACTAATCTATTTTATTATATTAATTAATTTAATTTAATGTACAGTTTTTATTTTAATCATTTTATTATTTCGAAATAATTTTAATTAATTAAAATTAGTAATTTCTACAATATAATATTTAAATTTATAAATAGTAGTAGTGTTTTTAAAAATTCATATAAAATAAGTTATTTTATAATATAATGTATTATAAAGTGTTAATTTATATTAATTCTTTTAAATCAGTTTTAAAATTTTAATTAAACATTTTTATGTTCTAATCTATAAAATATTTATTTTATATAATTAAAATTTATTTATTTAATTAAATTTTTTATTCTTTAATTATTATCACATTTACATTGTTTCAACAAAATTGATTAAAATTTGTCAAAAATACTTTGAATGCATAGAAATTTTATTACTATAATATACAGTATATATTTAGCATACAGTAATTATATAATATAAAATCAATAAAAATAATGTGTTATTTATTAATAATACTGAATGTAGTGTACTTACATTATTTAAATATTTCAAATAATATTGTATTTTAATTTATTTTACAATATATGCAATTTAGAAAATGTTAGCTTAAATTGTTATTCAATAATACTTGTTTTGTAATAAATTTTGTTATATATTAACATAAAAATTTATTAATAAAAATTTAATTAAGTTAATATTAAATAAATTCTTTAATAATATATATTGTTAAAACAGCAAAAAATAAAATGTAAATTGATCAGTTATATTTTTTATTATTCATTAATCATATTTAAATTAATTAAAGAAGTAATTAAATAATATTTTATTTAAATACAAAAAGTTTTTTAAAATGACAAAAAACTTAAAATTAACTAAGAAATCAAATTTCAATACATTTAACATTATCTGAATGAAGAAACTGTAAGAATAAATGACTTCAATGTTATCTTAAATGTAATGAAATCTTATTATCTGTCATTAAAAATATCAATAAATTAATTTCTTAACAAAATATCCGATCATTTTTCTGACATGTTTTTTATCATTAATTTAATATCAGAATCATTAAAGTAATTAAATGTTGTTAATGATTAATTAAATCAATTATATTTTTAATTAATTTTAGATATAATATATTATATTTTTATTAGTTTAATGGACACAATAAACACATCTAAACGGATAGCATTGCTTAACATAAGAATATTCATTGGATGTAAATATCTATCTTCCGGCAGATATTTGTGTGGAAATGCTATTCAAAAGTTATACCAAAACCTATAAAATTGTCAATTTTTGTCGTTTGACTACAAGTTTTGTGTTTAACTATAAGGAAGTTCACCACAAATCAAGTTTATATACTGTATATATCCTGCAAACCGCACGCGTGTCGGACCAACAACTGGAAGACCCTAACGGATAACAAAACTGTTGTTTGTTATCATATTTAATACACATAACTGGGAAGTGTTGTATAGTCCACGTGCACCACATAAACAATACATCCGCATAAAAGTATTGTCTTTTAAATAGTTTATATAATATATTTTGTGTATATATATTATTATTTTTAAAAATAAAAATAATTTATTGATTTTTCATTAGATTAATTACTTCAGACAATTTTGAATCAATATTTTTGCTCCAATTATAGTATAATTTTTTATTTTATTGAAAATCGTTATTATATATACTATAAATCAATTGCTCTTTAATTTAAATTTATTATAATTTATATAATAAAATAATCTATAGTTTTAAATAATATTTATTTATTTATTTATTAAAAGATTTGTATCATTTAAATAATGTGAATCATATATATATATACTGTATATTGAATAATAAGCTATATTATGATCATTGATTCAATTGTATAAATATGATTTAACTCAACAAATATAGTGTTAAATTGAAGTAAAAAAAAGTAAAATAGTTTTAACAAAAAAATTATGTAAAATTGTGTTTTATGTGTATTTACAGTTAGTTTTTTGAAAACTTTTATCTACTTTTATCTTTTATAATTACAGCTCGACTTTACCGGGAATTTCAGAATCTTTATTAATATTTAAATCGTTGGGAATTTAATATCCATAAAATGCTTATAAATACAATATAATAAATTGTAATTGTTTTCCAAATTTAAATGTTTTTCTAATAAATTTTTAAAAATACTGATAAATAGCTAATAATTTTATTTTCTACATAAATATATTTTTAAAATATAATAAATAATAAAAGAGTGTTTTGTCAGATAATTTTTATATGTATGTACTGTAAGTGTAAATTACAACTAAATATTTTGCTTGAAAAGCATAGTCACTAACATAATGTTGACTTAACGGTAAAAAACATCTAACAATTAATTCACTTATTAAATATCAAATAATAAAAGCAAAATAAAAAATAATCAAAAAATACAATTGTTATAATAAATTAAAGCAAATATTAAAACAAAATAAAGATTATAAAAAATATTACAATGAAATTGAGAAAAGTAATTATACTTTTATGACTATTATAACAAATGAATAAAATTAAAGTTTCCGATTTATCTCTCGATTTTCATCTTTAAGTATAACTCCTGAAAAAGTCAATCTCTAATTATAATAGTATTAAACACTAAATTCATTCAATAGTTTGGCCATAAAGTGATCGATCGATACATTAAATTGAATGCAATTGTGAGTCAAGTGTTGCCCTCTTTTGACGCTTTAATACAACAATAAAATTATGTTTTGTTTGAGACATGAATTGAATGAATGATTGAATGATTTAATGGTATTTATGTTTTGATTGAAATCAAATCACATCCAAAATCAACGCCAAAGACATCAATGCCTGACATCAAAGTCACGCCTTTGGGTAATATATATGTCATTAAATTAGTGAGACTTCTAACCGGTTGGTAATGTAGGCGCCGGTCAGGATGTGGGCCGAAGTTGTGTTTTGGTGACAATCGGATCCAAAAATGTGATGTTTGACTGTGGTATGCATATGGGTTATAACGATGAGGTAATGGTACTCAACATTGATGTCATTGTCTCAATAAATGATGAAATTTTGTAACTATTTTAGCGCCGATTTCCTGACCTGTCGTATATCACACGCGATGGACCATTGAATGAGTTCTTGGACTGTGTTATTATAACTCACTTTCATTTAGACCATTGCGGAGCACTTCCTTATATGTCTGAAATGATTGGCTTCAATGGACCCATTTATATGACTCATCCGACAAAAGCCATTTGTCCGATACTTTTGGAGGACTTCCGTAAGATTTCAGTCGACAAAAAAGGCGAAACAAATTTCTTTACGTCACAAATGATTAAGGATTGTATGAAAAAAGTAGTGGCCGTTAATTTACATGAAGTTATCAAAGTGGACGACCAGCTCGAGATCAAGTGTTACTACGCCGGTCATGTGTTGGGCGCCGCTATGTTTTACGTTCGGGTCGGCCAACAGTCGGTTGTTTACACCGGAGACTACAATATGACTCCCGATCGGCATTTGGGTAGCGCTTGGATTGACAAATGCAGACCCGATCTGTTAATTACAGAATCGACTTACGCGACCACTATTCGCGACTCAAAGAGATGTCGTGAAAGAGATTTTTTAATGAAAGTTCACGAATGTATCGAAAAAGACGGCAAAGTTTTGATACCAGTGTTTGCATTGGGAAGGGCTCAGGAATTATGTATTTTATTAGAGACTTATTGGGAACGTATGAATCTATCAAAAGTTCCCATTTATTTTGCCATTGGTTTAACAGAAAAGGCTACCAATTATTATAAATTGTTTATTACGTGGACTAACCAGAAAATTAAGAAAACATTTGTCCAGAAAAATATGTTTGATTTTAAGTACATAAAGCCATTTGACAGGTCATACTCAGACAATCCGGGACCGATGGTTGTATTTGCCACACCCGGTATGTCTTAATTATGACAATTATTAGCATTTTTATAACATTTACTGACTATAGGTATGCTTCACGCGGGTCTGTCATTACATTTGTTTAAGAAATGGGCGCCTAATGAGAAAAATATGGTAATTATGCCGGGATTTTGTGTGGCCGGCACTGTTGGTCACAAAATTTTAAATGGAGCCAAAAAAGTTGAATTTGAAAACAAGCAATCAGTTGAAGTGAAGATGTCTGTCCAATACATGTCTTTCAGCGCTCACGCGGACGCCAAAGGTTTGATCAATTATAATATGATTGACCGTTAAATAACAACAATTTATTATAGGAATAATGACTTTAATACAACAATGCGAACCAAGGAATGTGCTGTTAGTTCACGGAGAGGCTGCAAAAATGGAGTTCCTCCACAAGAAAATTAAACAGGAGTTTGAAGTTGAGTGCTATATGCCGGCCAATGGCGAAACCGTCTCAATTGGTACTAAAGTCAGTATTCCAGTCGATGTCGAGATAGATCTTCTTAAGCGATCACTGAAGGCTTCGAGTGAAAACTCTGATCCAAAAAGACCGAAACTACTTCATGGAACTCTTATGATGTCAAACACGGGAACGGGACCTCAATTTAAATTAATTGATACAAATAAAGCAATGCAAGAGTTGGGTATTAAACCGCATGTCATTAACTTTACAACAAAAGTGAAACTCAACACAAAATATAGTCCACAAAAATTGACAGAATTTTTGTTTCAAAAGTTGAAAAAGTATTTTTACTAAAAGTTAAAGTCAGTTACAATATAAATATCTTTTTATAATCTATTTGTTACTAATTTTAGTAAACTTTTGGATCAGCACGACATCAAAATGGCAAATGAATGTACAATAATTGCATCGACAGCTAATATAAGGGTTGTCAGTATTAGCTCGAGTAGTGATATCAAAGAAGTTTATATTTCTTGGTCCGATCACGTGAGTAGTGATCATTTAATTTTCTTTTTTCATAATAATTGATTTGAATTATAATGTTATTTATGAGATGACATTATACAGACATATATATAACTTAATGTTAAATTATGGTTTAGGAGGAAGCGTTGGGCAGTTATCTCATTAATTTCATAACAGGACTCCAGCGATCACTCGATGCATAAGCAATGAAATGATATCTATTTTTGGATCCAATATTTCCGTTTTATTCTTGTTATTCATTCATTATACATAATAAATTAATAATGATAAATAACTATAAATAACTATAAATATGTGTTATAAATATATATATTTATATATTGTATAACAAATAATAATTATTGTATAAATTGTGTAAATAATTATAAAATCACTTTTTGTTATAAATGATAATAACATTAATATATAGAATAATCAACATTTCGTGACTAATAATGATATTTCATTAGGCTTTTACCGGCATTTTTTTTGTAATACAAATTTGTGATGACTATTATGTATTTATAGACAGATTTTTAGTATCTTATTGATATAAATTTCTTATACATGTAATGATCAATTGATGTCAACTTTTATTACCTGAAACTGGGTTATATAAACGCTAGTAATTGAGCGAAACAGTAGTTTTATATATATTATATATGATCTGAATTGGACACACATTCAGTGTCTCTATCGTGTAAATCATCTATAAATGGAAAGCTATTGTTAGGGTTGGGTCCGAATCGGTCGAGTTCTGAACGAATGGCTCTTATAATGGCTTCTGTCTGTTGGCTCATCTCAACGGACATGACTTTCGGCATATCGTTTTGGGAATCGGTTTCACTGTCATTGTGTTTTGTTTGTATAAAAGTGCTTTTAATATATTGATTGTTGACAGGTGTGCCGCGTATGTCATATATGAAATGATGGTCAGAGGGATCAGTAGAGGCATCAATCAATTGTGTAATGGGAATCACTTTTTGTTTATCCATTTGCAAAATGCTTTCAATGTTAAATCCATTGCTTTGCGTTGCTTTAGATATTGTTATTTTGCTTTTGCTCTCTATTTGCTGTCTTTTATCGGATTCAAAGCGCAAGTATTGAAATTCATTGTTATTATGACTGACTCCGTCTTTTATATTACTTTGAGTACTGGTAGAGGCTGTCGGATCCAAATGCTGTGAAACAGTTTGCCAATGATTTTGATTGTCAGGTACCACACGATTAGGCTCTGAATGAATGGCAATGGCATCCATCCATTTCTTTCGTTGGCTTCTGTAGTTGCAAAATACCAGTGCAATCGTTATTATGCATATAATCAATATGAGTCCCAAACACGATATTAATATTATTGCCAATAAATTCATCTCACTTTTTGCCACTTTTACCTCATTATATGCTATATAATAGTAATACATTTAATATAAGACTTTTTATATACAGTAGTATATAGACATTGGATTAGATATTCAATTTACCAAACATTTGCTACAACCAAATCAATATTAATTATTTATTAAGATAAAAATTATAATATACGCGCAAATCTTATTTTTCTTTTAAGATTTCAGATAATTTAATTATTTTTATACTCTCTTTTATGTAATTAATAAAATTAATATCTAGTTTATAGATAACAATATTTTAAAATCCCTTTACAAAATTTGAACATATTTTTAGACATCATATTTCCTGTCTATCAAAATATGCGGTAGTATTTGTCAATTGATATCTATCTCAATAATATTTTTTTATAAAACTAAAACTCATAAATATATTAATATATTCTTTCAATTGATATGTCAATTAATGTGTGAACTTTTTTTATAGCTTTAATGACAGCAAAAAATCAAATATCAATAAACATATTTGACAGCAATAATATCATACAAACAACAATTAATGCTAAATTAAGTTTTATTATTAATATTTTAAAAGGACATTAATCAGATGGTGTGACCCAATGTGAACCAGACCTTAAACTACTGGTTGAGTATCGCATTGGGCTAACAGTGCGATACCTATTAATAGGATACCCCAGTAGTGGGTCGTCGAGTCAGTGATGCGGGGGTTTGTATGCTGTGGTGTTCATCACATTAATCATTGAATACACATTAAAAACAACAATAATATTGATTTTGATTAATATGTCTTACGTTTGACTTTTTCAATCACATCAAAGCCAATCATTTTGCTGTACTCCTCGTCCGTTATATAACGCAATACGACTTCAATATCTTGATATGGGATCAAAATGCCATCTTTTTCCACGTAATAAATCACTTGTATCTCATTTAACTCGTTTCCCTCTCTTATAAACCACTTCTGTATTGATTTGAAAATATATTCAGATATACTGTATTTAGACAAAACTCTTAGAAATAATCGGTTGCTTAACATTAAGATATTTTTAACAACTTTTAATTTATTTGGTAATGTATTTATCCGACTAATGCATAGAGAATCGTATCAAAGGTCTAATAAATGTCAGAAAATTAAGACATTGAAAGTATTTTCGTGTCTCTAATTGATGTCAGAAATTCATTGTGTCTTTCAATGGCAATACAACGATAACTAAACTTATAAATAGCAGTCTTTAATAATGTTTATAACAGATGTCTTTAACATTGATTCTTCTCTATCATTATAAGAGGTATTTACTGTATTTATGTTTCAATTGAATAAATAAAAAAAGATAAAAACTTTTTATAATTATATACATTTCAATTTTATAAAGTCTTATGTAACTTATTGTATGAATAAATAAAATATTTAACATAATACTAAGTTTGTTATTACATAATTTTTTTTATCAATTTGTAATTTATAATATATTCTACAATAATCTAATAAATTATTATACTATTTATCACAAGTACTTTAGTTAAGCATTTAGGCGTAAATAAATTATTAAAAAAATTAAAATATGTTTTTAATAATAATTTTAAAAAGTGCTGGTAATTAAAAATTGCAAATTATTTGTTTAAGTTTATTATGAGTTGATTTTCAGTTATTTCACTATAATTAGTGTTTTTAACAAAATATATAAAACGATGGATACCTTGACATTAATGATAGAGTGATTGTATTTTTCCAATAACTTTCTTGTTGTGACCGCTGTTTGATGTTTGGACTGTTGCTGTTGTTTGAAGGCTTTTGTATAGATTTGTTTGAGTTTGTCTTCAATTGTCTTTCCAATCGATTCAATCGACACATTATTTGTATTATTAAGTACTTTATAAAAGTAGTTCATTAGTAAAAGCAAATCATAAAATATAATTATTATATAAATAATAATATTAATGTCAAATCTAACAAAGCATTTCTGTTTATGTTTGTTTGATTCAATTATAACTTCATTGAAAAATATTACAAATATCATACAATTATTATTATTTTAAAAATAATTCTTTAAAATTCTCATTTTAAATGCTAAAATCTATTTCTATAATCTTTTATTTAGAAACTATCTTTAAAATCAAATTTTATTTCAAGTAAAGTAGTAGTGATAAACTTAATTTAGAAAATATATTAAAAATTGATTTTTTAAAAAGCTTTAAAATAGTTATTTTTATTTATAAGATTTATAAAGCATTACATACCTGTGCGCACCAAATAATTTTCAAATGGTTTTTCTAAATTATGGTTTTCAGGACACAATGGGACCGGAATTGGTGTTTCTCCTGATATATCAATTGTCTTACTCGGAGCTATTATTTGCGATGATTTGGTAGACAATGTCATGAATTGTAATGAAGTTATCAGTTGTGTCGTCAATGGATTATCGTTTGAAAGTGTTTTCATTTTCGATGATAAATGACTTTCTGGAGAAATTGAAATCTTATCGCTTTTGCTAATATCTTGTGTCCAATAAATTGATGAAAATGAAGGATATATAGGTGTCGTCTCAATGGAAGTCCATCTCTCACTGTCTGATAATATCACAAAACTTGACTCAATTTCTGGTATTAAATATGAATTGGATTTTGTTTGAAAAGTTGGACTCAAATTGTATTCTTGAGTTGAAAAATGATCCGATGTTTTGACATTTCTGGACGTTTGGTATGACTGAGATGACAGTGAGATAAACAATAGATCTTGCGATTGAATGGCAGTTAATTTATTACTTGAAATGGCATTGAAATCTATTGAAGAGGAGGGACCTGTTGGCCGATGGTATCATAATTTGTTATTTGTTACGTATAAATCAATATCAATATATATAATATTTATATATATATACAGTATATATGATATTTATATAAATATCTATTATATATAATGTATGAAAAAACTTAAGAAAAGTTGATAAAACATTTATAACCTGAATATATTTGTGAACTCCGACTTAAAATAGCAGAGTTTTGATTAATATTATATGAAAATATTGACCAATATTTATGACACGTTATTATAGGAGTCGACGACACAATTGCTGGGTTCAGTCGCGGAGTTTTCACACGGATTCGGGTAATTGTCGGCAATACTGTAGTCATCACTTGAGTTACTACTTGTGTCCAAACATATGTTTCGGTAATATTTTCTTCATTGAAATCTCCATTTCCTGAACCAACATAAAAGTCTTCAAACTTGATGTCCGGCCAATTACGGTGTGTTAAATGTAATCTTTCATTATTATTAATATTTTGAGCTAAGATTTTAATTTAAAAATTAATTAAGTGTAAGAAAATCATAATTTAAAAAATACAATCAACAGTTTTTGTAACATTTTTTATTTATTCAAATTTATATAAAAAATTAATGTGTTAAATTTTAACTTATATTATATTTAAATTTATATAAATTATAACTATATAATTTAATAAATTACGTCATTTAATATAAATTACGATTAAAAATACTATTTCTTTATTTTTTGAAGATATTGTAATTTTCAAACAACTACTTCTTATATGAGTTTTGTTCATTAGTTTAACAATTAATTCACATTTTGAGTTAATTATCACAAAATTATGACTAAACTTAGATTTTACTAATAAATATTTTTATAATAGCTATAAATCATTACCGTATAACAAATTATCATATATTGATAATTTAATTTCAATTATTCTAAATATTAATCATTTAAAAAAATCATTTTTAAATAAAATATAAAAGTTTTCATAATTATTATTTAAATATTTATGTGTCATTTAATAAAATTTATGACTATTAATATTTAGACCTATTGTTTAGCTAAATGTATAATATTAATACTATACATTGATTTATGCAAT